ATCTATCTAGCTGTCTATCTATGTATCTATCCTTGTCTGTCCATGCATGCACCAATCCGTTTGTCCACCTACCGAGCTATGGATGTTTCGACCTGTCTAACTACATGTCTATGCTGCTGTCTACATCTGCATCTATATTTACGTAACTGCATTCTCAAAACTAGACCCTGGAAACATGTGTATGATTATATATATATATATGCATACATACATACATGCATATATATATATATATGCTCAGATATATATGTACATAAATACATAGATAGATACATACATTTGTACTCATAAATACAAACACAAACTCTTGCATACACTATTTTACAGTCGCATCTACTGTCTTTTAAAGTATACTGCTTTGAGTGTACATCACATATTAACATGCTAGTGACAAAAGAATGTATTTGTACGCACACACACACACACCTCTGTCTGTGCATGTGTGTTGTGTGTGTGTGTGTGTTGTGTGACTGTGTGTTTGTGTCTGGGCCTGTCAGTGTCTGCATGGGTAAGAAACGTCAGTCCACAGATGTAATAGGAGGCGTGCCCGATATTGAACCTTTCGGCTCTTTCAAGGCTTAGCGGGCCGCCGCCGCCTTTGAGATGCAAGACAGCGAACGCTGTGCCAAGGCTTTGCATATGGCAATAACCATCGCAAAGATTCCCGGACACGAGGGAAAGCTGCACACACGGCAACAGAGGGCGCTAGTAATTGGAACAAGGTTTTGGCGCTTGGTGCATATGATAAAGGGACGATGAGGGCGTACAAGCAGACCTCGAGATTCGCTTCTTCCACCTTGGAAACAAACCAGTTGGCAGGCAACCCTGGCACCCTGCGTCTTGAACATCTAAAAGTACATTGCCGTCAACCCAAATCCCAGCATGCACCAGGGAGCGGACATTATTGCTGACCACCTGACGGAAACACGGCCCAGTCCTGCAAATGTGTGCACAGCTCCAAAAGAACACAAACAACCTCCAAACCCCGTACATTCGCCACAGCATGCCCTTGAATCCCTCCCAAGCTGTCTAAGAGATCTGAATTGGTTCCTAAAATCTTTATTCTGTTGCTGGCGTGATTCAGGGTTTTCGGTTCCACTATGAAGAAACCGGCTGTTGCACAGCACATGAACCCTCATCAACGAAAAAGCCCTGTACAATGTCCTTAGACAAAAGAGCCCACAATAAATCCCAAAGAGCTGCCATGAATCGAAACCTCCAAAAGCCGTATTCCAAATAAGCAGCCCCTGAACCCTAGAATCGAGAACCCTGAGTCTACGACCCCGCTACCCTGAACACCCCAAGTCTCTACATCTATAAGCGTTATGTAAGCGGCTTGGGGCGAGTGCCCACCTTTCAAGCCGTTAAACGCCAATCCCTCCAACCAACACCCTTTCTGGAACCCACGAGCTGCCAGCCATCCTGTCCCAGATCCAAAACCCACACCCAACACCAAAATGCCCCACTGTTCTCAAAGCCTGCAGCCCTAGAGAACACAACATCCTACAGATGAACAAAGAGCCACATGCCCTATAATGCTAAGGCAGAAGACTGATTGCAATAATAACTTCCAAAAGCCAAACACTTTTAGCGGAACATCTGTTAAGTTAAGCTTCCTAAAACCCATGCCCTAAACGTAAGCCGTTGAAATCACTGCAGGGATCAAGCATCCGTCGTACTACTACTACTACTACTACTACTACTACTACTACTACTACTACTACTACTACTACTACTACTTACTACTACTTACTACTACTACTAACTACTACTACNNTGCTATTGCTACTGCTACTGCTGCTACTACTACTACTACTACTACTACTACTACTGCCGTCCAAAATATGCAAACCTTCGAACTTCAGTATGTGGGACAAAGCCTCACCATTTGGGTATGTGGGCCTGCAGAACCCCCATCGCGACATGATAGAGCCCCAAAGCCTGTCCTGAGTGTCATCGCGGCGCGGCTCGGGAAAGGCCGCGGCCCAGGGCTCCTGGGCGTCGTCGGGCGTTCCTGGACGGTCCGGGCTTGCTTGTTGCCTTCGATTTGTGTTTTAGGGTCTCGTTTGTGCTTTGCCGGCAAAACATAGGGTTTGTGCACGCGAAACATAGGGTCTGTGCACGGCTTTCAAAGTTGAGGGGTCTCGGGCTGTAAGGTTCAAGCCCTCTTGTGGGTTGGGGTCCTATATGCTAAACCATCATAGCATATTAGAAGCGCAAGAAGCTTTGTAATTACGGCTGTAGAGTTGTTGGGATGGCGGATCTTTTTAAGTATCTGTTCGTCTTGTCGTTGCTTCAATTGTTGTTGGAATGAGTCATCCGGAAGGCTTGTGCTTGTGGCGGGGAGACTCAAGCAGTAGTCCCGAGTCTCTCTAAATCTAAGAGACTATGCGCTGAAACCTTCTAGTCATGCTGTGCCTCGTGCTGGAAAGAAGACGTAGCTCACTTTTCATAGTCCTTTTGCTAGTCATGTCCATTGCCAATAAGTCGATCTTCTGGCCCGGGAATTCGTGCAGTTTGCCGACGATGGGTACTCCAGCCCCAACTAAGGCGGAGTGCACTCAATCACAGTGCCTAGTCATTCCGGCTGCTTCACGAGAGAGAAGTCAGCACCGTGATCCTCCTTCCAGCGGCCAGGACAACGATGGGCACAGCGGCCCTCCTCCGCCGAGAATGAGCATTTATTCTCCCGGCATCACACAAGGAACGCTTCAACCGCTTGTCCGGCGGACCCTCCTTCTCGTGCCCACGATGCCTCAAAACAGGCCGTCTTGGATTCGGCCTGCCCGCGAAACGAAGTCCCGATATCAAGCCCGATATCCGTCTGAAGGCGGCGATTGTGCCCAAAAGAGACTCGTCACGTCCTCCACTTCTTCTGCTAGACGTCGCATGCCTCCTTTGGCTTGGATGACGTTCTTCCTCACTTTCGCTGCATGGCGTCCTTGCCGAGGGCTTTCCGCCAGGAGACCCACACTGCATCCGCAGCGATTGTAAGAGCGGCCCCAGTAAAATCATGTTGAGATAGGCACACCGGCGTAATGGCGTAATCCTGCTCAAATTCTCAACCAACCGCTGCCGATCACCGGCCGACATGCGAGGACATGGGCAAAGCCAGCTGCAGGGGCGAGTCAGCCTCTGCCTGAGGGCCGGGTGAAGGAAGCTTGCTGTCTTTCAATTCACACCAAAACGCTGGCAGCGACAGCACGATTAATGTGCCAGTCATCCGCCTCCGCCGCCATCAATTTGCCTGCAACTAGAGCTTTTTTGGAGTAGAAGCATCAAGCTTATCCAGAGTCCGGAACGCGTGACAGCAACAACGACTGGAAACATATTGCTGCGCCACGACATTTGCCTGCTCCCCAGGCACGCCTGCATTATGCAAAACAAGCAACCAAATAGACATGACAGCACAAAAAAGGCAAGCAACAAGCGTCAGCGAACAGAATAAGCGTTTGTCAACTATCAAGCCGCTTGCAAGGAGCACTCAAGACAATCAAGCCACAAACACGATGCATGCAACTCCCTTGCACACCCGCTCTGCAAGCTTCAAGCCGAACTTGTTCCTTTCGTGTGGCACAGTCTAGAGCACATGAACCGAAAGGGTTACAAAGGAGGTCAGACCAATTAGTCTTAACAGCCCATATTGGGCTAACAGCGGGATCTTACGGTACAGGAAGTGCTCGCTGCAATGAGGCGAAACCTTCGGTTTTGCATCCTTATACTAACTTCAAACCCCAAGAAATGCCAAGCCTTCAACCGTAAACCCTATAGAGCCTATAGACTCCCGGGTTGTGCGACCCACGCCTGTAGCTGGCGAAGCTGCCTGTGCTGCAGCCACCAGCTCCTGGCTTTGGGGCTTTAGGGCGAAGCAAGCGTTGGGGTTAAGGCTTGAAGACCTTTTCGGGCTTAGGGCTTTCAGGGCTTAGGCTTTAGGGTCCAGGTCTTTCTTTAGGCGTGAAGGGTTTGGGGCGCTTAAGGTGCAGGGCTTAAGAGAGTGCCGGGTGTAGGGGCTTGCGGCGCAAGGTTCGTTGATGGAACGGTCAGAAGCAAGGAGTTCTGGAACATGCATGGCCCTAGCACAAGGCTAAGGTTGTCCCAAAAAGGACTTCGGGGCTTGGAGCTCATCGGAGGCTTGCGCTGTCCTCCGGAGACGGAAGAACTGCCTCTTCGCCCAAGCCTGGCAGGTCTGGGTCTTCGAGGTGTCAGGAGTAGGATGTAGGCTTTCGGGGTGAGGGTTTTGCTGAGGTTCAGGGGTTGCGAGCTCGCCGTTGCTAGTTTATTATAGAACAAGGGAGTCGTCGCTGTGATGTTGATCAGGAACACATAGAAGAAATCCTAAACCAGAATCCTAATCGCGAGCCCTACTTGCATCCCAAGCCCAGGTCCTAAGACCGCAAGTCCTAAACTTCGAACCCAAATCCCAAACCCTCAGGAGCCCGAAAGAACAGCAATTCAATCCGCAAAACCTTGAACCCCTAAAGCCATCAACGACTTCAGCCAAACCGTGAACTCAGAGAATCCCCTTTAAATTTCCCTGCAAACCATGTACACATCGTATAAGCCAATATGAAACCCTGTGAAACACGAAAGACCTTCAACTAAGTAACAGTAACTAACCAAACACCCGTCTAATCTACCCGTGCAGAACCCTGGAGCCATTCTAAAGTCCCCACAGGGATTTCGAAAGCCTTCGAGCATTGGGCTCTCAGGCTCTGCAGCCGGCTCCGAAGCTTTCGTGTCCGCTTGGGCCTCAAGCTCCTGGGCATACTGTGGTATGTGCTGGTTTATCATGTGGTATTGATCTGACGATGACGATTCGCGATATTGCTGTTTTCCCTCGCATTCTTGTTATTATCGTTGTTCTCGTTGCAATTCGATGTACCTTACCAAACGAAAAGTTTAGGCAAACCATTTGCGGCACTTGATGGGTCTTCGGGTTGCCTATGGATGCTCCAGAGAAGAGCGCGAATCAGCAAACTAGGAGGAACTAGAAAACACCGAGATCCCTGTCAACCATATAGAATCCCGAACCCTCAACGCCCCCCCCCCCCCCCCCCCCCCCCGGCTCACTATGAAAAGCCCTTATAAACTCTGGCAGAATCCCGGCTCACGGGCTCCTTGAGGTGCCATTTTTCATCGCTGCCCTTGTCGCTGTTTAAGCTTACGAGCTGAGCGGAGACCTTCGGCATTCAACTGAGACACAACATGTTGGGCTTTAAGCATTGGTTTCAGGCGACTAGAATCAACAGCAGTCGAAGCGATCTGACTAGGTTTTTCCGGGTTTGCCGGTTGTACACAGTACCACGTGCATGTGTGCGTCTTTCGAACCTACTTGCTGTCAGTCGCTCGCAGACGCTCGTTGCGGATCTACCTCCGTGGTTCGTGGTTCTCACCATAAACAATTTGGTGGTGTTGTTGCTCCCTTCCGGTAAACACTGCCGACACTGCTGTCACGCGGGCTGGTGAAGCTTCGAGTTTAGAAGCGCAGAGTTCGCAGTGATGGGGATGGATTCGCTGGGGCAGCAAATTTGTACTCTAACATGTGCGAGCAGTCGTCGGGTCAAACACAGGTAAGCGGCAGGGGACGTTATCTCTTAACAGAAACGACTGGATGCAGACGGGTGCAGGCTTCAATCTGTCACTCGTCCGTGACCTGTACTGCCAGACAGCTTACGCATTAACTTGGTTGAAAGCCAGGGCCAGGGCTTCATAGTTCTGGTGGAAACTCTCACGAAGAAAGTGCCATTGCTCCAGATTGTACCCCAAATCCGTGAACACTGATCTGCACCTGAAAGGATGCCACCCCAGCGTCTGAAATGTTATATCCCTGACATCCTTCGGCTTCAAGCTCTTACACCAACTCATGGGACGCACCCCCCAAAGATTTCTGAGTCTTAAGTTTTAAGGGCACGGGAACATATGAGAAGGTACCACACATCGGATGGAGGATGTCTTCGAAAGGACCGCCTTGCCCTGTTCCCCAGACAGAAATCCGGAGACGGGTCTGAGACTGAGATGGGTGCTTGGCCAAGAAGCGCCTGCAGGGGTTTGGGCTTGCAAGCCAATAGTATGAGGCAATACGGTTCAAGCACCAGGCCCTAATGTCAGGATTGGTTCTTAGGCTTTACACATTCGCAGTTCTGCTTCCGCTCACATGAGTCGCAGATCCGGCTCCGCAGGGGCACATAACTTGTGGGAGTAGGGCGTACGCAGTGTAGGGCTGCGCAGTAGCTGTTAGAGACCTGATGCTAGTGGTGCTGGTGTTGAAGCCTGCATGTCATGATGCTGGTGAGGACGATGGCGACGACGATGACGTTTTGACGATGGTGATGCCCCTAAAACCTTTAGATCCAACACCCGCAGGTAAAATCTACAACCCTAAACCTATGACCAGGATGATGCTGCTTCTGGTACGACTCCTGCTGCCGAAAACCATTGGGCCGCAAAGTGTAGCATTCGGGTCGTAGCTTGTAGTACTTAGGGTTTGCGTGTTTATAAAGTTTTTAACGTTTCGGGTAGGGAGTAAAATTAGACACAAAACCGCCGAACCATAGCCCACTGTCGCAACAACTGTTTACTACGATCTTTCTGCTCCTGTGAGGATGAAGAACATGTACCCCTTGAATTCAACATCCCTGTAAGAAGGCCAATCTAGTTGATTGGACTTGTATTTCCTTTGCAGGACGCTTGAAGAGAGCACTCAGATTACGAACTCAAAAGCTTCACCTGAAGCTTTCGAAAAAGGTTCACCGGTAGACACCTAATCATCTGGTTTTTCTCCTCGTATTCAGATTTGACCAAAAGACACCCCCAAGAGTAAGAGGAAACGATAAAAAGGACACTTCTGGGAGCTAAGTGCCTCGACCTTTGCGCTGACGACCGTTTGTGTAGAGATTTGAACGGCAAGTGCGTCCAGCTTGCCTCGAATTGAACGGTTTAACGTTGCGGTTCGGGTTTAATGGCCCTCGTGATAACGCATCAGGGTTTAGAGCGGGCCTTGGGGGTATGGGACTTAGAGATGTGAGATGCAGGGTTTAGTTTAGGGCGGAGCAAGCGCTTTCTGTCGTGTTCCACTCTTGGCCCGACAAGACGCAGCATGACCTGGAACAGCAAAGGCAGTTCAGCCTGGCACACCTAGCAGACAGCAGTAGTCGCAGCAGACACAAGGGCAAATGCAGAACATCACTGCAAAGCCGAGCTGCCACCCAAACCAGACTGGGCGGCAATCTGGGATGCGATTGCGTCGACCTGGCTTTGGGCATCGAAGATACTACTTGTCGAAGTCTCTTGTTGCAGGACACCCTGATGTAATATATACTTGGGCAGTAAGACTATTTCGGCTGCATCTGTTCTTCTTTTGTTTTTCTCTCTCTCTCTCTCTCTTTCTTGCAGTGCTTCGAATTCAGATCCAGTCTCGCGTGAGCACTACAGAAAGCCGGCTTCTTCTTTGGGGTTTTCGGTGCAGAGTTTCAGCTTGGAAGTTCTAGCAGAGCCCTTCCGTACAAGCCCCGGGCTCCAAACCGTCAAGACCCCTGCCGTGCAAAGCAAAGAATCTTCAACTCAAAGAGACCTAACTCCTTCCAAGCCTACATTGCCGAGCCCTGGAGGCCCCCTTCCATGCCTTCCCGCTCATGGCAGGCACAACGGCGCTCTGCGTTACAAGGGCATTCACCTTGTCGTTCAACTCCGCCTCCGGCTTCTGTCAGGCTTTCAGGGCGACTTCGGGTGTTGCTCAAAAAAGGCGACAATCACAAAAACATTCTGCACAACAGAACAACAATCAATGAAGTAAGTAGACACAGGAAAGCACCAAGACCAATCATGAACTTCTGCTGATGCAGGTGGAGATGCACACTGCCGATGATTGCTAAATAGTAACAAAGTCAGGAGGGAAGGCCGCTTCGTCTGAACAGTTTATTGCTTGAGAGCCTTGAGAGCACGGCTTCCTCAGGTTACTTCTCTTCATGCGGCATCAATATAGCAAGTAGCTATCATGACAGGTGGTATTCTGTTAGGTATCAGAAGTAGTGCTAGTTGTTGCAGGTGTAGTCGTCATTCAATCTTCAATTTGGGGTACCGCCATTGCTGGCGTTGCCTGTGTCATTGATTTCGTCCGTCCTATTGTTGGCGAATGTGATGTTTGTCGTCGATTTCACCTGCAAGATGAGCCTTGGAGACTCAAATCCCCTCACAAGTCCAAGCAGCGCGAACCAACGCAATGACCGGTTTAGGCTTTAGGGAACCCTGATCGCTTCATAAGATTCCCAGTTGAAAGACCTCTACCGAGGATGTCACGAGAGTCAAGGGCTCGGAGAGACTGAGGACAGAACGCTGTGAAAGTCGTGGTTGCGGCATCTTTCTAGGCTCTAGGGTCTTTAGCATTGAAGGAGTTTTAGGGTCTTCAGGGTTTAGGGTATTTTGGACACCTACTTCTAAGTCCCTGACCACTGTGTCCAGAAGCGGAGGCAAAGAAAGGGCCCTAAACCCTAAACTCAAAGACCCTAAAGCTGTGTCTTCCCGTTGAGCTTCAGGCCATCGCGCGGTTTCGATCTTGTCGGTCCTGTTGGCACTTTCGTTTTAAGCTCCATGACTTCTCGGCTCTATCTAGGGTTCAGGGCGAAGCGGCGAAGGCCTAGGGTTGAACTTCAGAATGAACCTGCTCCACTACCTCCAGGCCTGTTAGGTCCAAGGAGTATGACCCCCAGCTCCTAAACTCTCGCTTGCAAAACCACCTACAGCCCTTTCAACTACCACAGCAGCCAGTTTATCTTGACTAGGACAATACCCTCTTGCAAGAATGGAAAGGGCAGGCAAGTGCAATACTCAGGATGGCATAAAGGTGTCCTCCTATTTACTGACTAGTAGTCAGTCATGCTGCTCGAGTTTGCAGCAGTCGTAGTAACAGTCGTACGGCTACTGCTGCTGCTACTACTA